CAGTTAATGAGTGACGGGCGCGAGGTGCTGTACCGGCTGTGATGAGCCTGATCGCTGATTGTTATTATTCTGTTCTGAACAGATAAACATTTCAACTCACCCTGTCTCCTGGCCGTCATTAACACAACGCAGAATCGAACCACAGTATACAAAAGCGGTTACCGAGGTTACATTGGTGCCGTGACTCGTTCTTCAACTGCAACAGCGCAGGCGGGGCCGTCTACGTCCTGGAACGCGGGCTGTGTCTACGTCCTGGAACGCGGGCTGCATCTACTTCCTGGTGCATCGGTGGATCGTGGGTGGCACGTCAGTCCCGTTTATCAGACACGGTGCTCTGTATGGACTCCTGGCAGTGTAGCAGTGGTCAGGTTTTTTTTTTTTCTCTTCCCTCTCTTTCTGTGATCTCTCTGTGAGGGAGGGGCGTTTAAAAAAAAAAAAAAAAAAAATCTCTCTGTGAGGGAGGGGCGTTTAAAAAAAAAAAAAAAAAAATTGTTTGAATGTTTTTACAGCTTTTTCTGTCGGGTTTCGCTTGTTGATTTGTTAAAGGTGCACTTTCGCCACTGTGTTTAATCTGTAAGTGCTAAAAAAAAAAAAAAAAAAAAAAAAAAAAAAAAAAAAAAAAAAAAAAAAAAAAAAAGTTAAGCCCATGTTCTAAATCAGGGCCCAGGCCTGCTTGAATCTCCTTAATATTTTTTAATATATTTGTCATATACATGTTTTTTATTTATTTTTTTTTTTTTTTTGCTCTGGATCATTAAGTGCTGAGTTATGGAAAGAAACAATTCTGTGGGTAGGGGGAGGGGCTTTGGAATGTTTACTCCGATGCCTGCAGTTGCTAGAGGCAGGGGTTTGTTTTTGAATACCCCACAAGCATCCACACCAAATTTTGCTTATTTGGGTGAAAGAGCTAACGACACTGTTGATGCTCCACAATGTGATGTTGATGGCAGACTTTTGAGTGACATAGCTTCGCGAATTGGAGTTTCTATAGGTGAAAGTATTGCATCCTGCATTGAGACCCGTTTAGGTAATACAGTGGGTCCAGGGGTGGCCGGAGCTACAACTAACGAGTCTGCCATGTTAAATGTCATTGTTCGCCCTGACGTGAAAGAGCCTGTGAGTTTTAAAGGGGATCATGATTCATGTTCAGTCCAAGAGTGGGAGGTTATGATGTTATCTTTTTTGAGAAAGAAAGGCATCCCTGTGGCTGAACAGGCAGATGAGGTGATGTCTAAGCTGGTGGGGAGGGCACATGAAGTGGTTAAAGTTGGTATACGCAGTAAGCCAGTTTTAAATCTGACCACAGGACCTGAGCCCATTTTTGAGATACTGAAGCAGCACTTCAGTGATACTATGTCCTCTAGTTTGCCCTTAGCGGACTTTTATGCTACGGTGCCCCACCCTGACGAACATCCCTTTGACTATTGGCTGAGACTCAACAAAGTTTTGGATGTGACAGAGGACTGTTTAAAGAGACAAAACAAGGCTTTTGACTCTCTGCACTGTGATCTAGCTGCCATGTTTATCCAGAACTGCCCTGATCCTGAATTGTCGCTCATATTCAAATGTAAGCAGCTGAAAGACTGGACGGTGGCTGATATTCATGAGAAGCTTGTTGAACACTGCAGTAATCGCAAGCGACTAACCAAACACAGGATGTCAGGTTTCCTGTCTTCCCAGCACCAGGAAATCACCTCCTCTATGCAAAGTGCGACATCCAGTGCTGAAGTACGGACTCCAGTTACTGTTGTTGCTCCACCTATTGAGAAGTCAGCTGGGAGCTCGCCTGACTGCCTGGATTGAGTCATCGCCCTACTCGAACGTGTTTTGGAGCAGCAGCCACAACAGCACAAGTCTCAAAGTAGGTTCAATGCATGCACTCAGAGGGTCCAGCTGACAAATGTAAAGCCTGCCGTACCGTGTGCTGTGTGCAGTGATGGTGAACACACCACTCAGTACCACTGCAGATCCAGCCATCTCTGCTTTAGCTGTTTTGCACCTGACCATATTCGAGCGGAGTGTCCAGGGGCGGTGGTGAGGAAGCCCAGGAGCGATAATCAGGTGGTGCAGTCTCAGGAAAACTGACCGGCCTGCATGTGTTGGGGGCAAGTGTTGGGCCTAAATGTGATCCCCCTGTTTCAAATGTTGAAGATGACATGGAATCTATATGTCAAAGTGCATGTGAAGTGAGAGAAATGGGATATACACCAATATTCCAAAACAGTCTGAGACTGAAACAGCATGACAACTTGTTTTATGAAGATGTGACACTGGGAGGTGTGGTTACAGTCAGAGCTTTGTTGGATAGCTGGTCGATGGCATGCACACTGAGTACTAAAGTAATACCTCAGCTGTTACATCGGGATGTTCTAAGGAGCCCCACCCTTGAGCCGACAACCACTGTGTTGATTGGGTGTGGGGGGTCCAGGACCTTACCTTCTGGCATGTGTGATCTGGAGATGGGTCTTTATGACTGCAAAGTGATTGTCCCGACATTGATTGTTGAGAACCAGAGTGAAGAACTGATTTTTGGGAGCAACCTATTGAGATACATCATTGACAGGTTTAAGCTGAGGCAAGATCTCCATGGTCAGAGCCCCACAGCACTCTGTGACGGTAGTGATGCAGAGCAGAAACTGCTAGGGTTGTTGGCAAGGGTGGAAGCTGCAGATGAAAAGGTCCAGAAAGCAGTTGGGACTGTTAAAATCAAGCGAGCTGTCACTCTTGAACCCATGACAGAACATCTGATCTGGGGCAAGTTGCCACAGGTGAATGACCAGTTGGCTGGATTTACTGTTGTGGTGGAGCCAACTACAGCACGATCTAAATCGAGAACGGTCTTGGTGGGGAGGTCGGTGTCTATTCTAAGAGCAGATGGTTGGCTCCCACTAAAGGTCATTAACCCATCAGACAAGCCAGTTACTTTGAGACGTAATGTTAAGTTGGCAGATGTGTGTACTTGTGATTCACTGGAGATGTTTGCTGGTTCCCAACTCCACATCCATCAACAACTTCAAGTGCCGTTGGACAACAGTACAAGACACAGCCTCGTCTCAGAGGATTCCACCTTGCCAGATCATCCTCACCTTGTGACACCATGCACAGTTGACACACCTCAGGCAAGGCTAAGAGGACTGGGACTGTCAGATGTGGATATTGAGGAATGTGACGTTGCCCCTGAATATAAAGCTAAACTGGCTGAGCTCATTGTTCAATACCAGTCGATCTTCTCAAGGGACAAGCTGGATTGTGGTAAAGCCACTGGTTTTCTACATCGCATCCGAGTCATGGATGAGAAACCATTTCGTTTGCCATGTAGGCGCATACCACCAACCCAGTATGAAAAATTGAGAGAGGCATTGGATGAGATGGAGGAGCGGGAAATCATACGAAAGTCCAGCAGTGAGTTTGCATCTCCCTTGGTGATCGTATGGAAAAAGTCTGGTGACTTACGAATATGTAATGACTTCCGTTGGATCAATGCCCACACTGTCAAGGATGCTCACCCACTTCCTCATCCAGCTGATGCTCTAGCAGCCTTGGGGGGCAATGCCTTTTTCTCAACCATGGATTTAACCTCAGGCTACTACAATGTAGAAGTGCATGAGGCTGACCGAAAGTACACTGCCTTTACATCGCCATTTGGATTGTATGAGTATAATCGGATACCTCAGGGACTCTGTAACAGTCCAGCAACGTTCATGAGAATGATGCTAAACATCTTTGGTGACAAAAACTTCATGAGCTTGTTGTGCTATTTGGATGATGTCCTGGTGTTTGCTCCAACAGAAGACCTAGCGCTTGAGCGCCTGCATATGGTCTTCCAGAGACTCCAGAATCATAACCTCAAGCTTGCCCCAAAGAAATGTCACTTTTTGAGGAAGTCAGTGAAGTTCCTCTGTCATATCATCAGCATAGATGGGATCCAATCTGATCCTGATAAAGTGACTGCTATCACCAACATTGATGAGTCAGACCTTATGGAGATCGGCACGAATATTCCCTCACAGAGAAAGATTCGTTCCTTCCTTGGCATGGTAGTCTACTACCAGCAGTTTATTGAGGGGTGTTCTGCAATGGCCAAACCATTGTTTAGGCTGATCTCACCCCCTAAAGGTCCACGTGGAGGTGGGAGAAAGCGCCGCCAAATCCACAAAAAGCTCCATGCTGAGGATTGGACTGCAGATTGTCAGCAGGCTTTCCACCAATTGAGACAGGCTTAGCTAGATTGTGTGGTGCTGGCTCACCCAAACTTCAGTGAGCCCTTCATTCTGTCTGTAGATGCCTCTACCGACGGACTCGGTGCAGTCCTATCCCAAGTGCCTGCCAATGGTTCAACGGCAAGACCGATAGCTTTTGCAAGTAAATCACTGAGTTATGCCCAATCTAAATATCCTACACACCGACTGGAGTTCTTCGCCTTGAAGTGGGCGGTGTGTGACAAGTTCCATCATTGGTTGAGAGGTCACCAATTCACTGTGTGGACGGACAATAATCCGCTAACCTACATCCTGTCCAAGGCTCGGCTGGACGCATGTGAGCAGCGGTGGATCGCTAAGTTGGCGCCATTCCAGTTCGATATCAAGTATATTGCTGGATCAAAGAATGTGGTGGCTGACGCCCTTAGCAGAGAGCCCTTTGTAAAGTCTAGTATGTCTCACCGTTTGACAAGAGTACCTTATGATGACCTACTAGCAGAGGCTGCGGCGATTGGTGCTTATGGGATTCAGGAGGTGTTTCGTTGGTCAGCTAACCTGCCTGAAATATCGGAGTTCAACCAACAGATATCTCAAGGTGTGGCGGTTGTCAAGGCTGGAACAGTATCATCACTGGAGGTTGCTGCTGTACTCCAGGGATGCAGTGAAAGTGGTTCAGTGGTGTACCCGCATGCCCTTCTCCTGCCACAGTTCTCGCAGACTGTTCTAATAACACCCCAAGCCAACTCTGAGGTGTTCTCGCTTGAAGTGTTGCGGGAAATGCAGAGAACTGATTCAGTTCTAAGTAGAGTGATCTTCTTCGTAGAGAGAAGGCGGAGACCTTCTAGGAGGGAACGTTTCAAGGAGTCATCAGAAGTCATTAAGCTTTTGAAAGGCTGGGAAAAACTTGCATTGAGAGACGGAGTTCTGTACAGGGTAGCTAAAAACCCTGTCACAAAGAAGAAGTCCTACCTTTTTGTGGTCCCCCGCTCATTGCGCCAGAAGGTGTTACAAGGTGTTCATGATGAAGCTGGTAACCAGGGTCAGCAGCGAACTTTGTACCTGATGAGACAGAGGTTTTATTGGCTTGGCCTAGTGCGTGATGTTACAGTGTATGTACAACACCGCAGACGGTGTGTTGTCAGCAAGGCACCAGAGCCTGAAGCCAGAGCTCCTTTGAGAAATATAAGAACTTCTGAACCCCTAGAACTTGTTAGTATCGATTTCTGGACTGCTGAGGATTCTTCAAACAACTCGCTGGATGTGCTAGTGGCTACTGACCACTTCACAAAGATGGCACATGCTTTCTTGTGTCCAAATCAGTCGGCTAAAGCGGTTGCACACCAGTTATGGAACAACTACTTCTGTATCTATGGGTTTCCCAAGCGACTGCATTATGATCAGGGGGCCGGTTTTGAAAGTTCGCTTATTGCCGAGTTACTGAATGTGGCGGGCGTGCAAAAGTCTCACACCACGCCTTATCACCCTATGGGGAATGGCTCATGTGAGAGAATGAACCGGACTCTAGGTAACTTGATTCGGGCGCTGCCACCAAGAGCTAAACATCGTTGGCCGGAGGCCCTGAAATCTCTGACGTTTGCCTACAATTGTACGGTGCATGAGACTACGGGCTATGCACCGTTCCTGCTCATGTTTGGGAGGGTGCCACGTCTTCCGGTGGACGTCATCTTTGGTTCGGTGTTCAGTGATCTGGAGGTGGTGGACTATGATCGCTACGTTGAGTCGCTGCGAAAGGACATGAGAGAAGCTATTGCGGTAGCTCAGTCGACAGCAACTAAACAGCTTCAGCGTCATGCTGAACTATACAACCGAAGAGTGCGTGGTGCACCAGTGGAAATGAATGACAGAGTGCTGTTGGCCAACAAAGGAGAACGTGGAAAACGGAAGCTTGCTGACCGTTGGGACAGCACAGTGTATGTGGTGGTTGGAAAGGATGATGAGAACCATACCTTCAGGATCCAGAATCCCACTACAGGCCAAGTAAGAGTGGTCCACCGCAATCTGATAATGCCGATAAACTTTCTGCCATTACCTGAGGATGACCCTGATGACCAGGAGGAGGTTGTGATGTCTCCCACATCAAGTTCCCTTGACCTAAGTTTTGGGAGGTCAGCAATCAGTGTTGTTATTTCTGACTCAGCAGAGTTCAGAACAAGAGTGTGGGTATCTGACCTACCGTTGGGAGCGAGCGACATCACAAATGCAGAAGATACTGAGCTGGTGAAGGGCACTGTGCTGGAGAGAGCCACAGAACCTACTAATTTTCCATCAGAGGGCAGGGTATTACCCCTAGCCCAGCCAGTCCTTGATCAGTTACAACCCTCTGATGGAGGCGCTTTGATGGAGGGCAGTTCATCAGACTCTGGTTGCTCAGCAGTCCCAATGTCTGGCCCAGAGACCTTTCTGGCTCCTGTTACTGACACACTAACTGACGTACCTGCTACTAGTGCAGCTACAGTGATAGTAGTTGATGGTGTGACGGACCGTAGATCTAGAGCTGGGCGGTTGTTGAGGCCAGTGACTAGACTTATTGAAATGATGCACCAAAGAACAGCCTTAGTTTGAGTTTAAAGCTACAGTTTTATTTGTTTGAAATTTGATCTTAAGATTCTGTAATAATTTTGATATTGGGGAGGAGAGTTTGCAGTTACATGTTGATGAAATATGTACATGGGCATGTTTTTTTTAATTCCCTATGTATGTAGATGGGGTTTGGCCAACCTTTTCCCATACTCATCCTCATGGGATAGTCAAAGTGACTGGGTGTTTGTAACTGTGAATTTGATTTTATTGTACCTCACATGTGACTTGGGGAAACAGTGGTTGTGTATTGGTTTCCTGTGCATTTGAATATTTTTTTTTTTTTTTTCTCTTTCCATTTTGTGAGTTTGTACCTGTTGTACCTGTTTGCTTTGCTTGTTGTTATGGGGCAAGTGGAATTCGGCAGGAGGGAGTGTAACATAGTTAATGTGTTGTAGAATTCCACTTGTCAGCATTCCCAAGTTTGGGTTCATCGTTTATGGGTGAAACAGCACCCCCTTCTGGTGGTTGGTCATGTTAAGTATACTGAACTCGGACATCTCGTTGCCAGTTAATGAGTGACGGGCGCGAGGTAGGTTCACTGAGCTTAACATTCCAGAAAATTTGTGTTGGCTTGATGCTAACATGTAATACTGTTCCTTGTAAGGTGCTGTACCGGCTGTGATGAGCCTGATCGCTGATTGTTATTATTCTGTTCTGCACAGGTACATATTATCTTATTTCTCTGTATTTGTGTTTAATATTCATGTATTTAAAACGGCTGTTGGCCAGTTAATGAGTGACGGGCGCGAGGTGCTGTACCGGCTGTGATGAGCCTGATCGCTGATTGTTATTATTCTGTTCTGCACAGATAAACATTTCAACTCACCCTGTCTCCTGGCCGTCATTAACACAACGCAGAATCGAACCACAGTATACAAAAGCGGTTACCGAGGTTACACATGAAGCTGTTGCAGAACTGGAGAGCTCCTTCAGTGACAGACTGCTGCACCCTAAATGCACCAGTGAGCGTTATCACAGATCCTTCCTCCCAGCATCTTGACTGAGTAGCTGTTATCTAATGGTGCTAATGGTGCTCCTGCACTGAGTCCGGAGGGCATCCATTCACAGAGCTGGCGTTCCTGATCAGCTTATCCAGTGCCTTTCTCTCAACTACAGATAAGCCACAGGTCCAACAGAAGGCTCCATAGAAGATGGCTGATGCCAAGTCTCATTCAGCAATAAGACTACTGCTCTACTTACATTAGCTGTTAAGACTTTATAACCACTGCTGTTCAAGCCCATTTAATAAGCCTTTTTGACCCCAGCTTTTAATTGCAGTTTCCCCCTTTATTTTAGATGGTCTGTTGTATTTCATCACAATTATTCATGCGGAATTTATATACCAACATTTTTCTCCTATTGTAAATCTTTCTTTACTTGCTGCAAACGAATTGCCTATATGAAAGACAGTAAAGCTTTATTCAATTCAATTTATTCAATTGCGCTTCGCTTAAATATATCCAAGCCCTGTTAATTTGACATTTACAGGTTTGATCTCTTATGATACAGAAATACTGGCAGGCGGAATTAAACAGGACATTTTCTATTCAAACGATCGAGTATTCAGTTTTCCTCCCAATTTCAAGAAGCAATGAGCAGGGGCGGAGCTAGATAGGGGGCCAGGGGTGGCCATGGCCCCCCTTTAGCCAAACACTGTCCACCCCTAAAGCCCGCCCTACCATTTTTTCCCTTCTAATACAGATGGTTGCAGCAGTAATACTGTCAAGTGGAATATTCAAATCATTTTAATTTTTTGTACATTAACAATTACTTGATAGCAAAAACACAGTTGTTAATTATGCACATCAATGTGCTAATATTAAAGATGATAAGTACAGAATTCATGCTCTTTTCAGAACTTCAGAAGAGTCTTTAGTGAAATCATAGATAACTATTATAGTAAAAACTAGGGCTGGTAAAAAAAAATCGATTTAATCGATTCCTTTACATTTTTGCTAAATCGATGTCTAGGGAATGAGATTGATTCACTTTATAGTGACGCGCATGACGTTCACATTCAAATGAGCAGGAAAGATGCACTCAAGAT